GTTAGATGTTCACCAACCCAGTCACTCCCATAGTTGAGGATGATGAGATCTAGTTGGATGGGACTGAGGGCGGTGACATTGTTGTGGACACAGAGATGTCCAAGGAGCCATAGAGAGTTTTCTTCACTCTTTCCCCTCTTTTACTTTTATTTTGTTAAGCATTGGGGACAATTATTATCTTTATTCGGGGGTGGAGTTTATTTGATCTTACTTGCTACTTTCTGAGACAATTGGCCTGTAATAACTTGATATTATTTTCTTTCTATTTCTTATTTTGTATATATTCTCTCTTTTTCTCTCATTATGTATATTCAGTAGTTTTTGTTTAATTAGCCTCTTTATTTTTGGTTCCGTTATTAGTTCGTAGTTTGAGTTAGTAGCTTCTTTGTTTGTTTTATTAGCTCATTTTTATGTTTTAGTAGACAATAAGACTTTGGTTTTCTTAATGCCAAGGTTCTTTCCAAAGGTAGTTGTTGTGTAAACCATGTGACTTGTCCCAACGATGGATGTCGTGATAACCTTCTTAATGGAATGAGTCCGTTTTTTGTGTTTAGGTAATAATAGTAGTGGTAATGAATAAAAAGACCTAATTGATTCATGCTCGAAGAGTCAAACATGCTTCAATTAGTACCAATACACTTAACTATGTACTTATGGTTAAAAACAAGATTTCTGAAAGAAATAGCTCTAATTAGTGACTTTGCGACTCTTGAGTTAACTTTGGCGACCATCGAGTGGTTTAATTGAACCATAGTGATTTTTAAACTGGAACATGGTCGTTGTGGGCCCTCGACTCTGTCCTTGTTAACAATCCGATTGCGTGAGAGGTTAGATGCTTTGTTACTAGTTCAAGTACCCGTGCTAAAGGTCTAGAACTTGCCCCAAATGTGTTTCAAGGCGAAATCCTAAGTTTTGCTTGGCTTGAGAAGTGATTGTTGGCTTTCCTTGGCCCGTTTGAGTTTTCTATTGCCTACCAATGTTGTGATCCCTAGTCAACCTCGTTGAGCCTCGAGCCTTTCTCATTTGACAACCATGTTACAAGCCTTTACCCGTTTGATTGTGACCCTCTCTTGGCACCTGAGCTTTCCTTAACACTCTTGTGAAACAATTGGCTAAAAATATTAGTTTAGGGGAGAGACTAGGAGCTTCAAAAAGGTATCAAGGTACAAAAAGAAAAGAAATGATGCGAAGAAAAGGCAAGAAAAGAAAAGAACAAAAAAAAATACAAAATAGTGAATAAGTGGAAGAGTTGAAGGGATTCAAAGAGAGATAATGATCCCAAACATGAAGAAATAAAAGAGGGGGGAAATGAATGGAATGATCAAGAAAGAGTGATGTTAAGTCTCTCTAGTTTTTCAAGGAAAAGAAAGTGCCCCAAAGAATTGGCAAAGTGTGAGCCGAGAAATGAAAAATAGAGTGCTTAAGGAAAGGTGTAACCACTCACCCATATTGTATCCAACCCTAATCCAAAAGCCTTCATTACATCCTGAAAGAAGTCCTATTTGATCTCAAGCCGAGTGATCTTACATTAGTGGTGATCTACATGAGGGGCAAGCCTATGGTACTTGAAGTCGTACTTGCGACATTCTCTTGAGAGAGATGAGTGAACCTTTCATAAATCTTTGGATTAAGTGCTAAAATTATTAAGTGAGCCAGGAAACCGGAAAGTAGAAGAGGAAGAGTTTGGAATCCACCATGACCTACATGATAGAGCAAGAGTCCTTGATGAGTAAAGTCAACTTTTGATGCTCAAATGTCGCTTTAGAACTATATGTGCATAAATGTTCAACTTGTCGCCTTGTTGATAATACATAGGTAGTGTGGGTAATTGTTGATTCCAACTGATGTGTGGATGGATCACCTTCTACTCGCTGAAATGACCCTTAACTTTTGGAGGTGAGAACTAATTTATTTGCTTGAGGACAAACAAAGACTTAAGTTTAGGGGAGTTGATAAGTAGGGGATTTTGACTACTTATTAGCGCCTTTTAGCTTTTGTTTTAATTTAAAATCATTAAATTATGTTCCCGAAACTAATGAAATTGTGCAAAATTGCAGGAATGCTGGAAGTTGGGATCTCGAGATAAAATCCGGCTAAAAAAGGAGCAGTCAAGCACAAGGAAATAAAGGGCACAGAAGCACACAATGTGCGATCCATAGAAGGAATTCTGCGGCCGTAGAAGAAATTACGGGCCACAGAATTCCATTTGCGGCCTCAAACAACGAAGGAAAAATCTACAGGCATTTGTGCAAATTGCGGACCGCACATGAATTGTGCGTCCACAAAAGATGGGCTAAGGGTCAAGATCAGAGAGAATGAAAATAGACCAAGTCCAGCCTCAGTGAATTGCGGACCGCACAAGATTTGTATGGCCGCACAAGATTGCCTTGCGGTCACAATCCTAATATTGCGGACCGCAGAAAGGTACCTTGTGGTCGCAGTTCTAAATTTGCGGACCATAGAAAAGTTGCCTCGCGGCCGCAGTTCAGAATTGTGCAGCCGCAGAACTCCAGCTCTTGTCAAATAAAGAAATCTGCGAACCGCACATGGAATTGTGCGGCCGCAGAACCTCCCGAGGGGCATTTTTATCCGAGATTATCAGCCTTATATAAATAGATGAATTTCACAAAATTAGGTCAAGTTTGAACCTCTGCAATTACTGTAACCATTTTTCTTTGCCATTTTTGAAAGTATACTTTGTTTTGGTGTATTTTACAATAGATTTAATCATTTTAAGCTTTAATTATGAGTTTAATTAGTCTTCTCTATTTTCTTCAAATCCAAGTATGAGTAGCTAGATTTTTACTAGGGTTGTGACCCAACCCTAGTGTGTAAACCTTATGGGTATCTAATTTAGTGCGTGTTTATGATTGGGTATTTATTATTTAGCTTAGTTCATGCTTTAATTTTGAAATTATTAGTTCATGCCTATTTGACTTAGTCTCTACTTAAGAAAGAGAGACCTAGTCTAGGATAACGTAGCCAACAAGAAATTGGGTCAATCAAGAGATTGATTAACCCAATTAAAGGGTTTAACCTAGAGATAGTAATAACCCGACTTGAACTTTTATTAACTATTTTGTGTGAATACCCATTTGGTCTCGAGAAAGCCAAATTGGGCAAAATCACTCTCTGACCGAGAGGTATTGAGTGGGTAATTTATAGTTGATAGCTATAATACACCTCAACCAATAAAATAAGTATTAAAGTCTTTATCCCATCAGGCGAACACCTAGGTAATGGTCACAAACCTAGGCTTTTTATCAATTTGAAAAAACCTCAAAAATAATTATCGCTAGTCTTCTTTCTTTATTTTGCAATCCTTAGAATAAAACTAAAAATAGAAAACAAATTTTTGTGTGGAAATTCAATCTAGACAATTCAATCACTCACATTGAAATATATACCCCTAACTCCCATCTTAGCTCCATGTGAATTCGACCCCGACTCTTAGTTGAGTTTTATTATTGCAAACGACCGTTACATATCTCTATTGAGGTGTGCATTTGGACGTGATCACTTGACGTTGTGCGTAAGATCTATCTTTCAGCGGGCATGAGTGCAGTTTGCTTAAATTTCTGACCTTGAAAAGTTTTGCTTTTTTCAGACTGGAAGACTTAAAACACTAATCGCAGTTGTTGTTGATGCATACTAGGCAGTACCTACGACAAGGATATAAACTTTTTCATCAATAAACAAAGCGACATTAAATACAATGGAATATAGTGATACACACTGCCATCCACAATACTAGATGAAAAAATACAATGACTATACAGTATTACACAGTGACAACCACAACTTAAAAGTATACAACAACAAACTTACAAGCAAAAACTTATTTTCTGCATAATTATGCTTCTGACCTCAACTACGATATACATTGAGATACATAATTATACAGTAAATATTTTGATACCTACTTTCACTTGATGTATGCACCTTAAACTGAAGTTTTTCCTTTACTGCCAAATGCTTCATGATTTTGATTGTCGTAGCCTTGTTTTTATAAATTTGACCTTCTTCTACATCTATGTGTGAGGGTCAGTTATTATTGTATTTTCATCAGATTCTGTATCCTGCCAGTCTTCTCTATCCCCAAACTCAATCATATTAATTGTATCATCGTTGTATCTTTCTTGTATAACTGAGCTTTGTGTACATTCTGAGGAAATCACAACAGAATTTAAATTGTAGCAGATCATGTCCATATCCTTTTCGCTCGATGTTATACAAAGGGGATACATTGTAAATTTAGAGTTTTTTCCAGCTCAAGATATACATATACAACCATATTATTGTGTATCATTATTGGTGGAGAACCATTTTAGACAGTGTATTTGATTTCAATAGCATTCAATGAAGTATCTATCATAAGTTGTTTCAAAATCACGTCTACAAAATCTTCAAAACTTATATTTGGAGTAACTATTACATCACCGATATTGTAATCCACAAAACTATTGTCAGCATTCCACCGGCCATCATATTGGATAAAAATTGGTAAATTTGCCATTGAAGTAGCCGAAATTAGGTCAAAATTCACTAATTCCTTGATTGATTTTGATTGTATTTCGTAGTTTCTTCATCAAAGCTATATCTACAGAGAAATCGCGAAAGGAAATTGTTGCTTCTTCAGTAAAATTGATCAATTTTGGAGTGAAATTTGGAGCTCCTTTTGAGAATTTTTTGAGAGAGAAGGCCGTGATTTAAACAATGTAGGTCTTTGTGAAATTGATACGCTTGAAAAACAGGGAAGGAAGGAAGATCTTTAGCGTGATTCTCGGATGGAAGAATCCTTCCTTGAGTGTATCTCTAATTTTTGGCTACTTTTGGTAAGTGTCTAATTTTGGACTAGAGGTTGATAAGTTTGAGTTTAAATTGGCTATTTCTGTACTTTTTCCTTTTAAAAACTGGCTAAACTCTAATAGCCGGTCCAAAAAGTGGCTAACTCAATTAATTTTTCGAAAAAATACAGTTTAGGGTCTCTATTATCTAGGCCCATTACGGTAATTGAACGCCGAACAAATTGTCACACGGCAAAACGGGTTAGAGTCGGGTCTCCACCAGGTTGGTGATCAGCAGCAATGGAAGAAGACGACGATGGAAGGAGAGAAGCTGCGATAGCATCAGTACCATCTCTACAACCCAATTTTACCTCTAAAAAGGGTCTTAACCCTGCTCAAATTTCCAAGTTTCAAGTAATCCCTTTTGTCCTCTTCATCACTTCAGTCAATTTTATCATACGATAAAATATCTAAATTGGACCAACCTTGTTGTTTGAAATCATACACCTTAAAAATTAGCTCCATTTATTCTTCTTTTTTCTCTCTGAAAAAGTAGTAATTGCTGAATGTGGTGGGAAAACCAGGATTTTTCGTTGGTTGTTTTTCTAGATTATTCCTCACTTTATTCATTTATTTCCAGTTTTGAACTTGTGCTTTGCTAGGAAATTTGGTTGATGTTACTTTGCAAGTCTGTGATGCAGCAAGTAACCAAACTTGTATATCCTTAAAACTACATATACATTGGCTGAATACATAGGACTAGAGGAAGTTGTAAGTCTTGATATTGGAGGTCTCTTTTCTTGTATGAGCGGATGCAGAGCTAGCAGTGTCATTTGTTCGCTCTTTTATGTTTGAATTGTGCAATATAAACATTTGCTAACAGTAGTCCAAGGCAAAATTGAAAAAGTTGAAATACATTGAGTTGTTATGCTGAAAACACTATAATTAATAGAAGGGTGTTAAGTTGAAATACATTAAGTTGTCTGCCTCACTTCCTTTATGTAACGTGGAATTAAGCACTTGCAAACTTTTTCAATTTATGAAGGGAAATTTCACTTGGAAAAGAAAATGTTCCATACGTTAAAATACATCGCACTATTTTACTCAGAATGCTATAAGCGATTGTTGGACACTTTTAAGGTTCTCAATGTTTATCCACATATATACTTTGATGTTCCAATTAATGGTCCCTTAAACATTTTCTCTAAGTCGTGGAGTAAGGGATTTTGTGGTTTTGGGCCAATCGGTTGGATACATAGTTACGAGATGATTAAAGCTCTCCAAAATTAATATATCAAAAGAATACTGAGGTACAGGTCAGCAACAACACTGAATGAATGATCTGACAAAGAGAGATTCAAAACTTGTTTGCCGAGCTTGGTGGCAGGGATGGTAAGTTCAGTGTTAAATCATGCTATCGGATACTGTTGAACCTATTGGAATGTTGAAACAAACATTATGGAAAATGTAAAATATAGGTATCTCTTTGTCAGATCATTCATGTGTTGTTGCTGACCTGTACCTCAGTCTTCTACAAATTTGTACTTTTGGTGCAGGAAAAACCTTGTAATTGAATTGGAAGACATTCTGGGTTTCTTAGACTCATTACTCTGATAGGAGGCAACTCCAGGCACTTTGTATACATTCAGTACCTACTTGGTACTGTTTTATTATAAAACTTATTAAAAGAACTTGCTTGCTGAGCTACAGGTTAGGGACAACATCAATTGACCATATGGAATTTGGATATAGAGATGCGTGTGCATTGTTATTTTTTTGTTCTTTCATCTTAGTATGACTGGATTGATCTTTTAAATATCATATGCGTTGGATTTGCCAGGAGTTGCACCGAAGACGCTTAAAAATAAAAGCAAGATCAAAGGTCAAGGATAAATCAAAAGGTGTGTTGTTTGATTCCTCCGCACTTTGTTTACATTTTCAACTATCTTTCTGTCTATTTGTTTTATTGTTTTCTATTGACAGTGAATTTCTAGTCAACATTGTGATGAAGAGAAGTTTTCAGGAACTCTTGCTGAGGTGGGAAAGTATCATGGTAAAGATGTCAATGCCAAATGTAAGGAGGCAATGGGTGAAAAATCAATTAAAATAGTTGAAGATTCTAGAATTACATTGCCCATAAGTAGTCTGACGGACCTTTCATCCTCACAAGAAGACAATTTAGTAGGACATTCACTGTCAAAAAAGCGGCAGAAGTTGCATTGGGGGTATGATCTTTCAAAATGTTTGCTATTGTTAGAGCAAACAATTGGATTTAATGCCATAGCAAATTTAACAGTATGGTACCATAAGTGTGGCATTTTGGTTGGTTATGTTTCGTTTCTTTTGCTTTTTGACTTTGTGTACTTTATGTTCTTATTAATCGTGCCTATTGACCAACTGTAGGCTTGATACCAAGGAGAGATGGGAAAGGAAATCCAATATGTAGAGATATCAGCTTCTGGAGTTTGCAATGCTGCTGCCATGTTAGATTGCTCCAAAATCCATTGGAGGCAGCGTCTTTGATCTACGGGTCAAATATAATAGATATATATTATGAATTAAGATGATTTCTGACTAAATTATCTCCCTTGTAAACCCAAGCTTTGAAGTGTCAAGATGTATATTGATCTCTAGGTTTATGAGGAAATGGGAATTAAGCCTCGGCTTAGGTGTAGATCAACCAATTTCTGCTAAATCGCTTTGATTCTTAAGGGCTTGAACATTTCACTTGTAAATGTGTGTGTGTTTTACTTGCTAATCGATAATGTTTTTCTTGCAAAGAAAGAAAGAAAGAAAGAAGAGATCATATAGTCTGAATATCCAGCTAACTGACTAGGAGTATGTTGCCTCCTCTTTATGTCAAGTGTCAACGCCGCCCAGTACCTTTTATGCTCTCAAACTGGTTTGTCTGGAACTGACGACTATCTTCTTAAACAAACTATATGGGTGTTTTAATTTTCAGAACACTGGCCCCTCTACACTGGGTTAGCATTTGATAGATTATCCGAACATCGAGTGATCTAGTTATAGGGTGGAGTTCAATTCGTTATCTGGTATTTGTTTAGTCATTTAGATAATTGACTTGAGAGGAGCTTAATGCACCGGGCTGCCCTTTAGTACCCACCTTCTGTGGATTCAACTTCTGATGCAACATCCAGCGATGAATCCAATTAAACTTCTTCATCAGGTATACATAATTTCAGTAACTAATCTCCCTAATACTGCCTAAGAATTACTGATTTCAGCTGCGGGCAGAAAGGTTTGAACACAGTTGAGTCCAGTATAATATTGTCGTCCCTCTGGTCAAAATAACCTATTTCAGGTAGGCAGTGAATGTCAGATGACACCTCATTTTTAACAGATCGAAGCTTCACTGAAGTAGTAAATAATCAAAGGCTGAGAAAACGTTTGGAGATGGATTTGGAGACTAATCATTTTGGAATAAAACTATCAAGCAACTTGCATTTTGGCATCTGAAGATAATCATTTATAGTATCTATTATCATCTTGCGTACCTAAGCTTCACTGATACACAAATATTAACGCCGAAAAAGTCTTGAGATGGATTCTGAAATACTCATTTATACGTGGATAATCTTTCATATCAGTTGCATGTTTGTTACAATGTCACACCATTCGTGATGCCGAAGTACCAAGAAAATCAAACAGACGTCTAAAAGGGTAAGTGATACAAAATCCAGTCTCAGCAACGGACTTCCACTGGGAGTATCTCTTCAAAATCCAGACCACTGGATGGCGGAAGCTGAAATTACTCAGCTGTTCATATGGTACCACTCATATTGCTGGGCTTAACTCACGCTCTATATCCTCCAGTGACCGCCCCTTTGTCTCCACGACATTACTGGCTATATACATAACAGCAAGAAGACAAACTGATGCAAATCCCAGGTACACCGTACTGATCCCAAATTTAGTTACAACGCTCAAGAAGTACAGACCAATAAAGAAGTTTGATATCTGTTCAAGGAGAAAGACGAGTTAGCTGTTAGAGATAATAAGTAAACATGGAGTGAATGAACCTTCGATTAATCTGACAATGCTGCAAATACCACCACAATTAATTCCTACTTTTTCATATTTATCTTCCTACAGCTCATGCTGGGAAAATAACAATCAAAAGCAAAAGATACTTCTTAAACGAAAGAAGTAAACAATAACACTAAAAATCAGAGAGCCAAGGGACTACTGAGTTTGGTTTTTCAATAAAATACACATTCTCCTTAGCACCCTGGCATGTTATATTACCCGAGAGGCGTGGCATTGAGAAATATGCTCAGAAGACATTTGAGTGTACTTCTGTCAGCACACATTTCAGCTTATTGTGATGTTAGGACTTTGGCATAAAAGTTTGCTTCCAGCATAATCACGGAACACCATAAATGATGTTTATAGCAGTTATAACCTTTTGTTCGTCAAAAAAAAGAAAAAAGAAGACTCACCCAATGCATCCCCAAAGACAAAGCCACCGCTTTTGCCCTAATTCTGGAGGCAAATATCTCAGGAAGTAGAAGAGCAGGAACAGGACCAGCACCAAGTGAGAAGGACAACACGTAGCTGCAGAAAAAAAGGTAACAGGAAATATATATACATTTCATTTGCATTCCTTTTTTAAAAAATAAAAATAAAAATTGCATTGACAAAGGAACAAAAATGGCCAAAAAACAGAAGAAATTGCTCCGGTGGAAAAAAGAAGAAGTAATGATCTAACAGCAGGGAAGCACATGATACTTACAGGACAGTACCAAGAACAGCTAGTGTGCCAGAATATGGTGTCAGGACCTTCCAAGTGAAGGACAAGGAAAGCAACATCATTGATGCAGCCTGTGAAAGGAGAATATGATGAGAATCAGAATAAGATGGATAGAACAAGATAAAGCTAAAACAGAATAAATCAGAAACAAGCCATAAATCAGGAGGATAAAAGTGTCATGTCCCTCAGGCCTCAGCATATGCATGCATGGGTTACAGCTAAAGAACCATCTTAGCATTGACGACTAGATGCAAAAAGAATGAGTTCAACTGCCAAGGATTGATTAGGATAAGACCGTGCAAGTCTTAGGCAAGCTATCCCATAGAGCTTCATGTTGGAATTTTCTCTGCGGGATGCTTATAGTTATGGAATATTTCAAAGACCTCAAGTTTACCTATATAAGACTAACTTTCCTTGTGATTTGGAATATTGTACTCACTCCTTATTTTGATTTTTTCATAACAAAACTTGTTGAAATGATAAGTTTTTTATATTTTTCATAAAAGTACCCTTCTCGGATATTAGTTATTGATTGGAAAATTTTCACAAATCCATCTAGGTTACATTTCTAATACTTACATTAATCATGGGTTGAGATATTACGTTCACTTCCTTATTCATAACGATATTGAATTCAAATAATAATTTGTTATACATCCCGAACTTGACCCATTTTTACCTTAATTATTAGGTGCTATATTTGTAATACAAAGCTCTATTCAATTTTAAACAAAAATCATTTATGCTATCTATATTGGAAAAATAGTACTATATGTGTGCTAAAAAATAAATATAGATAAAAAAACAAACTCAACAAGAAATTTTAAATAAGAATTAAGAGAGCCAAAAAAGAAAAAAAGGAAAAAGAAAAATATACGATGCTTATCACTTCTTTAATCATATCACATTGAACTCATTTCCTCATTTCATTAATGGACTGCTCGAAGTTTGTTCACAACCAACGATGAGGCTTCCACTAAGACGTGAAATGGCCATGACATTCATAGAAATATGCAGGCGTCGAACCAATTATCAGTTGGTATTATCCTAGAGGTGCGTCCCTTCCCCGGACCCTGCGTGAATGCGGGATACTTTGTGCACCGGGTTGCCCTTTTTTTTTAGTTGATATTATCCTAAACTTTGGGGTAAAATTAAGTATAATAGAGTGGAGAAAAAATGAAGATTCAAATCTGAAGGTATATAATCTCTGGACCTTAGCTTCTAATGGTTTTCCATCTCGCTTCAATGAAGCGAAGAAATCTGCAGGGTGCGAACTTCCACACCCACAACCTATTTTGTAGGTTCATATACTTACAGTTTGTCTATTAATTGGGAGAATTACACGTTTCTCCATTTTCAGTCAAGGGTACACAAGGACATCTTTGGAATAATAGAAATATTCTATCATTTAAATCAATCTTGTTACAGAAAAACCGAAATAAGGGAGGCTACTGTAAAACCTTAAACTACGAGGTAGGTTAAGGTCTGTGAAATTCTCTGTTATGGTTATGATTCTATGTTTCACATTATCATCTTAGAAGTCTAAGATTCACAAGGATATGATTCCAAGTTTTCACATTAGCATCTTAGAAGTCTAAGACTCACAAAGAGAAGTCAAATGCCATGACTTTTGACGTTTGGATTAGAAAACGGTTTGGTTCTGTATAGTTTTGGTCTCCTTCTAAAGAAAAAAATGTTTGTGTTAGGATTTTGCATTTGGTTTTGGAAGAACTGGTCGTGTGCTGTAAGAATTATTTTCTCAAAACACCAACTTAGCAATTTATGGTTTTATGGGAAACAAAAACAATGGATGTTTTTTTCCAAATCAAAACAGTTATTTCCAAACAGGCCCAAGCAAAGTGGTCTAGATATCCCTCTAAGCAAGGATATAAGGTTTTTAACCAAGAATATCAATTTTGATCATGAATATATAAACTGAGTTTTACATTTCTGTAGGTTCTTACAAACCATAAACAATAACAGAAAATGATTAAAAAAATGGTTTATTTATCACTTAAATTCAAACGATAAGATTCGTCATTGTCTCTACTACGTACATGAATTGCATCACACTATGACAGGGTATAACGTTGCTAGTGCTAGAGATAGTTAGAATTTCTGGAAATACAAGGTCCTTCAACAAACAAAGATTTTGAATGTTCTGTTTCGATGAAGATTTTTCTGTTTTTTCATGTGTGTATATGTGTGTGTGCGCGCGCGCGCGTGTGCCCATCCAAATGCTACCAAAATCTTTAAATTGATTACATGTAATAATCAACTAAAAGTAAAAATATCACTCCTCAAAGGATTAATGCAGTTCAGCTCCAAGTAAGTTGTATTTTATTTTTCACATATAAACTCCATCAAGGACTCAAAGTGACATACCATTCCAGTAAAGCTTATGAGCAAGAGACTCTTTCTTCCTTGTTTGTCCATCAAAGAGGATGCCACCATTGTCCCTGGATGAATATATACCCAATTAGAAAAATATATTCTATAGTTAGTAACAGATGTTCTCGAAACTCTTGAGGAGAAGACTAACCAAAGACGTTGGCTGCTCCAACCAGAGCACTGGCTGCTACATCAGATGAAATTCCAGCACTTCGGAACACTGCAGTGGAATAATAGACCACAGCATTTATCCCAGCGAACTGCTGGAACAAGAACAAAGCTGCACCAATGCTAACAACTGCAATGACGACAACAATTAGACCATTTTGGTGGTACAATTGTCTCATTTTGGTTGTACAATTATAGCACAGAAAAATCAGGAGCTCAAAATATCAAATACGTTTGGAACTATGGAACGAGTGACCATAGACTGATAATATCACATTAAGAACAAACTCAGGTGGAGAACTGTGTGCGCACAAGCATAAACTCAGGCTTTTATTGTCTGGAGAATAATTAAGTTGTCAGTAACA